CAAACAGGAATATAAACCAGCAGTCTGACTTCAGAGTCCACAATCCTAACCACAGTATTACTAAGACTGAATATACTATAAAATTTTAAATTTTATGATCAAAGCAGAGGCCAGGAACCTTCAAGTCTATATACATGTTTTTGTTGCTTAGTATTCCCTGACAAAGTATTCACTATCCTTTATCATCTTTTCCAAAGTCCTAATGAAAGTCAAGCTGACCCAGGAGTGAGCAGCACCCATACATGCTCAGTGATGTTCAGCCCCGTTCTTATCCAGATTTGAGCACTGCAGGCCTCCTGAAGCGCATTAGGAATGTATTAATCAGAATAAAGAGTCAGTAGGGGGGCGATCTTACCCTAAAAACAGATGAATTTCATTAATGTATCATTATTTTACAGGCCTTTAAATCTCCTTTATTCAGGGTACACAGTAGATACATTACTTTCCCTCTACCTGTCTTGGCCCTTCCTTTTCTCTTCCTCGGTTACCACCCCCGTTCCACCCCAAATTTTATCTATCTTCTCTCTGATGGCCCTGCCTTCACATTGTGTTTCTTTGGAAATTTCACTTTTTGTGTTTTTTGGGGGTTTTTTAAATCCTCAACTGAGGATATTTTTCCATTGATTTTTAGAGAGAGTGGAAGAGAGAAAGAAAGACAGAGAGAAATATCAATGTGAGAGAAACACATCGATTGGTTACCTCCTGCACGCGCCCCAACCAGGGTCTGGGCCAGGGAGGAGCCTGCAACTGAGGTATGTGCCCTTAACTGGAATCGAACCCGGGACCCTTCGGTCCGCAAGCCAACAATCTAGCCACTGAGCCAAACTGGCTAGGGCTGCTTTTCCTGTTTTTTAAACTAGTCATTCATAACTGTCTCCCTTGACGACTTCCCTCACTCTCTTAATGGCTTTGAAAATAAACCTAGTCTCACCCTAATGGCCTTATACATGCAAAAAAACTAAAACAGTATGAATAAAAGCTAAGCAATAGAACAAATCTTAAATATCTGAATAATCAGAACAAAAATATTTGAACAAATATACAATAGAGAAACTATCTTATCCAAATGGAAAACCTAGAAACTAAGTAACTTTTTAAAAAATATATTTTCAGCCCTGGCAGGTTTGGCTGATCGGATAGAGCGTTGGCCTGCAGACTGAAGGGTCCCAGGTTCAATTCCAGTCAAGGGCACATGCCCGGGTTGCAGGCTTGATCATCTGTAGGAGGCGTGTAGGAGGTAGATCAATGATTCTCTGTCATCATGGATGTTTCTATCTCTTTCTTCCTCTCCCTTCCTCTCTGAAATCAATAAAAATATATTTTAAAATATATATATTTTTTTTTTTTTCATTGATTTCAGGGAGGAAGAGGAAGGGAGAGATAGAAACATCCATGATGACAGAGAATCATTGATTGGCTGCATCCTGCGTGCCCCACTCTGGGGATTGAGCCCACAACCCAAGCATGTGCCCTGACCAGAAACTGAACCGTGACCTCCTGGTTCATAGGTCGACAACCAACCACTGACCTACACTGGCTGGGTAAATAACTTTTTAAAATGTGTGCACAGTGAGGTTTGAAGATTTAATCACTGAATCCTTGTTTTGGAGGAAATCATATACAGGGTGTCCAAAAAAAATGTATATACAGTTTAATAACTGATAGTTCAATTTTGAAAATGAAATGTATTTTAATAAACACTGCCTTTATAAATATTCAAAGTGCATGTATACATTTTGGGTGGCTATATATATATATATATATATATATGAATCTATCTCCTCCAAAGGTCATCCACAGAAGTCCCTCCAAGGGGTCCAAGAACTCCCAAGTTAAAAATATATATATATAAAACATGACCTAAAATATTCTATTAGTTGGAATTTTCTGTAATTTATAGGCTATAGATCCTTACGAAGCACTTTCTACCAAACTACTAAAAGCAGTAGCTATTATTTTTATTCTCAAATTAAAACTTTATAAAGTTGGGTTATTTCAACTAGAATCTTTACACACTTTCTATCACTTTTCTGAAAAGGACTACATAAGTGGACTAGTCATTCTGTGACACAAATTTCAGAGAACATTAAGAGAAAGGTGACAGGAGAGGAAAGCAAAGGAGTGGAATGGTTGAAATAATGTCCATAAAGGGAAGTATACAGTGCTATGTACACAATAAATAGTGCTTGGTCAATGACTTTGGATAATTCATAGGCCTTTTTAAAATTAAACGTGTAAAAAGTAGTCTTCATTTTACAAGTCAAAATCAGACAAATCATGAGAGTAAGTGATATATTTATAAACTGTATCAACTCAAAAACTCACAAGGGATACAATCCTTGTTACATTCTGCATCTGCACATCTACATGACACCTCCCACATAGTAAATGCACAATCAACCCCTGTCATTTTAGTTCAGGGCATGGGAAATAGTACCACAACAAAGGCAATTATTTTTCAATCCAAGTACCAATTCATTATTTTGTGCAAAAATACAGTATAAGGGTTCTGTCCAAGATTAGTAAGATATGTTTCTATATTACTGAAATACAGCGAAAGTTTTCAATTTTAATTACCAAGGTAATTAAATTTAATTAGTTTAATTACCAAGGGAATTACTTTAGATTTACAATTGACCTACATATAGTGGATGCTATTTTTTTTAAAAAAGTAGCATTTTTAAAAATATATAAGCTTTTATTGATTTTTTTTTTTTAAGAGGAAGGGAGAGAGAGAGAGAAACATCGATCGGCTGCCTCCTGCATGCTCCCTACTGTAGATCAAGACCAAAACCCAGGCATCTACCCTGACCAGAATGGGAACCAGTGACCTCTCTGTGCATGGGACGTGCCAGGGCTAAAAACAGCATTTTAAAAATCTCTAAAGTTAAATAATACAATTCTAAAAGCATATGTGCCCTGCCATTCATTCAATAAACATGATTTATTTTAATACAGGTCACAAACATTCAACTGATTTACCAGAGTTCTTTATTTCCTGCCTGCTATCAATTTCAGTCTTAAACCTGACTTTATAGCAAAAGCAGCAGTTCAGAATTTATTTCATAAGATTAATCCCAAAAGTTACTGGGTGGCTTTTTAAACTATTTCACTCTTCATAAATATAAATCACTAAAATAGTCTAGAACAATATGGAGAGCTCTTTAAAATTTGCAAGGGCCCCACCTCAGAACTTGAGTAAGAATCTTCCTGAATGTTGGGTGTGTTGCTTTTTAAGTTCCCAGGTGATAATAATATGCAGCCTAGTGTGGGAACCTCTGACCTAGACCACTAGACCAGTGGTTCTCCACTTTTAAGATGCATGAATCACTTGAGGAAACTCTTTTTAAAAAGCAACATAAACAAAGAGATGTGCTTCAGCAGGCTAGGAGTGGTGTGCAGGAACCAGCATTTAAATAATCATTGCAGCTGGTCCACAAACCACTCTGAGAAACAATGCACAGCCTTTGTCAGGTTATAAATGAGTACATTCAGCGTGCAGGTGACATTGTACTGCAAGCACTATTGAATCCTGCCCTAGGCAGTTTTAGCCAGTATTTGAGGGCAACATGTAGTCCTTTAAAATAAAATGTATTCTTAAATATAAGGTCAAAGTCAAGTGAACTGTGAGATCATAATTCATTCATTAAAGAAGGAAAAGGCTTTCAAACTATTTAAACCTTTAAACAGACCAGTTTTTTGCACACAACTTAAATCTAATGCCTTTCTCCATCATTAAGTATCCTGATATGTGATCAGAGAAACTGACTCCAGCTTACCAAAAATGTAATGTAGACTATAAAAAAAATATACATTCTAATCACACACCTTTACAGATTCTGTACAGTCTCTATTTACAAAACGGGAGACCAGCTGGACATTAAAGAATACTAAAGCCGTAAATAATAAACTCTCAATTTTAAAAACAATGAAACTTCATATTTCCCTCACATAAGTTTCTACTTATAATATTGGGGGGATGATATCTAGAAAATGCTAATGGTATCATGCTGCCTCTTTTGTGAAGAAGCTATTTTCCACAATTCTTGTCATTATCTACAAAACTAGATAGTTGGTATCTATCAATCTACTTTAAGCATTTTTTTTTTTAAAGTAACCACATGTAGCCCTAACGGGTTTGACTCAGTGGATAGGCCTTCGGACTCAAGGGTCCCAGGTTCGATTCCAGTCAAGGGCATGTACCTTGGTTGCGGGTACATCCCCAGTAGGGAGTGTGCAGGAGGCCGCTGATAGGTGTTTCTAACTCTCTATTCCTCTCCCTTCCTCTCTGTAAAAAATCAATAAAATATATTAAAAAAAAAAAATAACCACATGTAAAGCCACACAGCAAATCAGAAGATAGAACTAGTGATTAGACCTTCCATTTGGAAAGTTGAGCTCACTATCGTATCAGCTTGACAACCATCTCAGTGTGTGGCAACTCTTACTAAGTATAATAAATATTTAAGCATATCTGAGTGTGTGACAGCTCTACCACCACCCCTGCCAAACTTTAGGGGCAGATACAATCTACTCTGAACCAGAAGCTACCTAAGAACTAAGTGGCAACAATGCTAGGAAGCAGATAGAGCCGATGGTTAGTGGAATCCATCTGGCATTGTGCTCCCCTCGCCTATGTCTAAGATGCTATTGTTTACTGTGTATACACTTTTCTATCATGTTCTTCACAAAGATTTATACCATCACCTCTTTTCCAGTAGCATATGTGATTAAACAGCTGGCATTTCTTTGTAACCAAGCAATGAAAAGGCAACTGCCAAAAACCAGCATTGTATTCCAAGAGACAAGCCATTTCATAAAATAAGAAACTGAAACTTAATTCCACAGTTATTAAGAAGCTAAAACACTCATACTCATTTTTAACCACTTAAAATCTATTAAAAAAACAATCAAACCATTTTCCAGTTCATAAATGATTCAAGGCCAAAATAATGAATTTTAAAATTAAGTAAAACAGAAATTAAAAAATTACCCATAAATATCCAACCAAGTGACATTGTCTTTTACTTGGGGGAGGGGGGATGTGAGGGGGGGGGCCACTTAAATGGCTAAAATGAACATATAGAGACAGCACTCCTGAGGAAAGGATTTCAAAACAGGACACAATGGTATAAGGCACTACCTTAACTTCAGTCTGCACTTAAGTCTTCTTAAATGCAAAGCACGTGGGACAGGGAAGGGAAGAACACACAAACACATTCAACTTTTCATGTCCTTTTCGCTGGTTTGGCAGTTAACTGCTTTTCTCTTTCAAATTCCTTCTCTCGTTGCTGCTCCCTTTCCAACTCTTCTTTCTGCCTCTTCTGCTGCAGTTTAAGTGCTCTTTTCTATATCAAAAATTCAAAAAACAAGAGAACAATCAAGGTTTATGGATTATGACCTAGTTTAAAAGTAAAAGTGCTTTCGTTTGAGGTAATCAATACATATTAATAAATTTCATATTTAACATAAATTCATTGTGGGTAATTTAAGTTCTCTTTGGAACAAAAAATAATAATTGTTATTCCGTTAAATGAGAATTGCAGTGGCATATTCAGAGAATAGGAGCCTACAAGCCCGGCTATAAGTAAAAAAGCCCAGAGTGGGGTTCAAATGAATGTTTTAAAATAAAAAAAGAAAACAATGTACCAGGAATTAAGTATATTATTGTATATGGGTATATGAGAAGTCAGAAATGAATACTGAAGAACAGACAATTACACCTCTACTTTTATAAAGAATATAAAAGAACCTGCCAACTCACTTTTAACTTCGATGTCTTTTCGTGAAGCATCAGCATTTCTTTCCTTATATTCACCAACTTGGCATGATAGTGTTTGGCTTCAGTGAACTGAACATGGAAAAGTAAACGAAAAGTCAAATTAGACTGAAATATCAAAAGGTTAAATAAATCAATGTCTGCATTACACTTCATTCTTCCTAAATTGGTCAAATTTTTTAAAGCCTTAATTATTTCCACAATTTGAGTGCAAATTTAAATTTTATTAAGCCATTAGGAGGATTTTGAAAACACTTGATTCAGTTCAGATTGATAAAAAGTTACTGACCATAAAATAGGCATTTATTTTGTATACAGATACATTTTTGCCTTAAAAACATGCAATATAATCCTAAAATTTCGGTAAGACTCCCCAATAATGCTATCAGTTTCATCTGAGAAAAGTAAAACTCTCTACTGCCTTTACAAGAGGGAGACCAAGCCAGGATAAAGGACCATTTAAGTGTCTGCCCATCAGGAAAAGGCAAACTGTGTCGGGAGAGCCCCAGGGGCTTCCGAAGCCAGACCCAGCAGAACCACCTCTGTAAGGACACTTTTCCTCCCACGGAGTCACAGGTGTAGATTTGCCATCTCACCCAAGATGCCAGAAAAGCAAAATAGCACCTCACTCTCAGGCAAGGTAAGAGAGAAAACCAGGTAACAAGATTGAGAGAAGTGTCGGTAGAGATACTAGCAACCTTCATGCAGCTATACGTAAAGTCATAGTCTGGTGAGCTCTAGAGCTTACAGTGTCTGTCTGTCTCTCTCTCTCTCTCTCTCTCTCTCTCTCTCTCTCTCTCTCTCTCTCTCTACCTTCCAGTTTTCAGTTCCTAAATGATAATCAGAACCAAAAAGAGGAAGACTTAGTTTCTGCCCCTTGCCTGCCTCCTTCACAAGATATCAGGAACTACAGGCAGAAAACTTTGTATTTACTACCACAGGCCTCTGCCTAACGCTAGAGGAGATGGACTTCCTTTTTGATTGTTATAAAAGGAAAACATTAATAAGCAATATTTGTCCAGTGAAAAATCCATTTACTGAGGTATGCGTGAAAGTTCATAAAAATCATGCAAAACAAGCTATTTGTAATGTTTATGCCTAAGAGAAAGGTAGTCCTAAGTTCCTTATTTTTGTTAATTCTTGTTTCTTAAAATACTAGTAGAGTATCAGTTCCTTTCATCTAAAAGCTATAGAGCTTCTGATGAATTCAACTACTGTCATTTATACTGAAAGCTTTAAAGGGTCCATAAAGGAACTTCAGGATGTGAGGGCGATCTGGCTGCGACATCTGTCACCCCATTGATCGCCAGGGTTGATTCGGCTGATCTGGCTGGCTAGGCGGGTGTCCCCCTCCTCCCTCACCGATCCATGTGCGTCCCTCCCGAAGCTGCGCGCTCGGTTGAAGAGGACGACCTTCCCCCCCCCCCCCCCCCCCCAGGAGAGGACCGGTCTTCGGTCAAGGGTATACGAGTAGCTGCGCTCCCCTGCTAGAACCTCCAAACAAGCTCTCATAAAGGAACTTCAAAGGGTCCGTTTTAGCGTTAATTTGTCATAACATTATGAAAATGCCATACAATTAAATAAAATATGAATTTTTAAAACCATTTTAATTGATAAAAAGGGATGCACAAATTTTAAAAACCAGGTCATTGATAAAAAGAGGTGCACTTTCCCTAAGGGGAAAAAATAGTATCCCAAAAGTTTCTTATTTTTAGTTCTCTTTTATAGAAATAAAGATCTATTCCAGACTTTGTAAGTTCTATTTCCTATCACAAATTCAACGTTTGAAAGATAACTGTTCAAGACAACAGAAGTTCCATAAAGTAAATCAAAGTTTCCTATTAAAAGACAAATTCTACCCTTTTAAAAAAGTAGATGAAAAGATCCCAAACATACATATGTACAAAGTTGGGAGGACAAGCCTATTTCTAAAACAAGAAAGATGTCATTAAGCTATGTCAAGTAAATCATACTTACCAAAGCATTAATATCCAACATAGAATGACATTCTTTAAATTTTGAAATCTCTTGTTCCAGTGTGTCCAATAATACAACTTGGTTCTGTCTGAAATACACGGCCAAAATAAACATTACAAACTGTAAGTGCTGGTTCATTAAAATGAATCACATTCATCTTGTTTAATGTTGAAGGCAGAAATTAAGTTGGAAATTTATTGATTTTCCAAGGCTTATTAGGTTCAGCATAATCTTTTTCAAAATAATATTCCAAAGCCACATTCTGATAACCAAAAGTATCTTTTATTCTTGCCTCAATTCGATTCTAGTAACTAAAATGACCAAGTCATTTAAAATTATTACTTGTTATTTTTGGCAATTCTCTGTATTCTCCCAAAAAAGTTTTTTATGCTATCTTGCCAAAGAAACTCGATATTTTATTTATATTAAAACTGGAAGAAAACCACAAATAAAATAAGGAGCAGTGACTTTTTAGAGTTGGGGAAAAAAATGCAGGGATATCAAGGGATAATAAGTCTAAAGGGATAAACAGGCAGCAAGGTGAAAAAAAGACTAAGGGTCACAAGATTCCCCTACCAATAATCAGTTGTGTGATCTCAGTTTATTTCTCTGGGTCTAAATTTCTTCATTTATAAAGTGAGGTCAAACCACATAATTTCAAAGGTTACTCATAAAAATTCTGACTCAAAACCTTTTACTGAGAAAGAGAAACCAACTTTACTAATATACTAGTAAAGTGGTTCTCAACCTTGGCTGCACATTGGAATCACCTGGGAATCTTTTTAAAATCCTGATTTCTGGGCCTCATCCTCCAGAAATTCTGTTTCTTTGTTATAGTGTGGGGCCACTATAAAGTCACAGAGGTAGAAGTGAGATGTGGGAGAGGGAGCCACACCCTTAAATAGGGTGGTGACCTTCTGTACCTGGCCTACTGTTCCTACTCTGCTCATGTCTGTCTAACTGCCAACAATATATTTACTAGAAAGGTTAAATTAATAAGTAATAATCTCCCAGAATGAAAGCACCAGGACCAGACAGTTTCACTGGTGACTTCCTACAAACATTTAAGGAGGAAATTATGCCCATTTTCTACAACCTCTTCCAGAACAAAGAAGTAAAAAGAGCATTTCCTATGAGGCCAACATTACCCTAAAATCAAAACCCAGACAAAGGAAAAGAAAATCTACAGACCAATGTATTTCATCAGCATAGATGCAAAAATTCTCAATAAGATATTGGCAATCAAATTTGACAATGTATAAAAAGAATTATACACCAGTCCTGGCCAGTATGGCTCAGTTGGTTGAGCGACCATCCCATGTAGCAAAGGGTTGCTAGTTCTGTTAGGGGCAAAAACAGAATACTGGGCACTAGCTATAGTTATAAGAAATATTAAACATGCTCTGTTTAACCATGATTGCCTTGTTCTTATTAAAAGGACATCCTAACCTGGCTAGGAGTTGTACATGCCTGGGACCTGAGAGTCAACCTTGGAATGTCCATTCTCATTCAAGAACTATTTAATATGGAAAGATTAACAATCTTGTTAGCCAAATGGAGCCCCACCCCAGCCTGCATTGCCTACTTCCCCAGCCCTGTAATCCCTACTTCCCCATGTCACATTTGTCCAACCCAATAAAAGCAGCTGGTTTATGGGGGATTGGAGATCAGATTTTTGTGGCTGACCTGCTGCTCTCCCATACTGCCGGCAGTATTAGAATAAAGGCTCATATGTGATTCAACCCTGTCTCTGCTGAATTGGCTACAGTAGTGACAGGCAGCCCAGACTCATTGGTTGTCCAGTTTTACTTCAATTTTAGGTCAGGGCACATATCCAAGTTGTGGGTTTGATCCCTGGTCAGGGTGTATATGGGAGGCAACCAATCAATGATTCTCTCTCACACTGATGTTTCTTCCTCTCTCTCTAAATCAATAAAAATATATTTTTTAAAAAGTATTATACACCACAACCAAGTACAATTTATTCTAAGTATGCAAAGCTGGTTCAATATTTGAAAAGAAGAAAGCTAAAGAAAAAAATCATATGGTCCTATCAGTTGATGCAGAAAAAGTATTTAAGTCCAACACCAGACATGATTAAAAACACTCTCAACAAACTAGGGAGAGGAACTGCCTCAACTTGTTAAAGAATGTCTAAAAAACCTATAACCAACATCACACTTGTGGTGAGAAACTAGGTGTTTTCCCCCTAAGATCAGGAGCAAAGAAAAGTGTCCATTCTCACTACTAGTCTATGTGACACTGGAAGTCCTAGCTAAGGCAATACAAAAAGGAAAGAAAATAAAAGATACACAGATGAGAAAGAAAGAAATATACAAATTACTAACATAATTAAGAAAGAAATTTTCAAAAAGATATAAACAATGGAGAAATATTCCAAGTACATGGAATAAAAGCCTCAATATTAAGGTCCTGACCAGGTAGCTCAGTTGGAGCACTGTCCCGATGCGCCAAGACTGCAGGATCAATCCCCAGTCAGGGCACACACAAGCACCAACCAATGAATGCATAAATAAGTGGAACAACAAATCAATGTTTGTCTCTCTCTCAAATCAAATTGTTTTTAAAAGTCTCAATATTAAGTATCAATTCCTCCCAACTTGATCTATAGATTCAATGCAATCCAAATTTAAATCCCAGCAAGAAGAAAAAGATGAAGAGGAGGAGGAGGAGGAAGAAAAGAGAAGGAAGATGAGGAAGGGGGAAGAAGCGGAGGAGGAGGAAGAGGGGAAAGAGAAGGAAGAGGAGGAAAAGGAAGAATTAGAAAAGAAATATGAACAATAAAATGGCAATAAATACATATCTATCAACAATTTAATCTAAAAATCAAAATAAATGAACAAGGAAGCTAATGAACAAAATAAACTGATGAATAAAACAGAACCATAGGCATGGAAACATGGAACAGACTGATAAATCTCAGAGGGAAGGGGAGGGGGTAGGGGTGGGAAGAGATTAACCAAAGAACTTATATACATACTAGAGGCCCGGTACACAAAATTCATGCACAGGGGGTGGGTCCCCTGAGCCCAGCCTGCACCCTCTCCAATCTGGGACCCCTAGAAGGACATCCCTCTCACAATCCGGGACCGCTGGCTCCTAACTGCTCACCTGCCTGCCTGCCTGCCTGATCGCCCCTAACTGCCCCCCCACCACCAGTCTGGTCACCCCTAACTGCCCCCCACTGCCAGCCTGATCACCCCACACAGCCACTGTTCAGTCGTTTGGTCATCCCTCACTAACCCCACTGCCGGCCTGGTCACCCCATGCAACCTGCTGTTCAGTTGTGTGGTCGTCCCTCACTAACCACTCCTGCCGGCCTGGTCACCCCATGCAGCCTGCTGTTTGGTCGTTACTTTTACTGTGATGGTGTCCTGGACAATTTGCATATTCCTCTATTATTAGTATAGATATGCATTACCCAAGAATACAGACAATAGGGTGGTGAAGGCCTGGGGTGGGGCAGGAACCAGGTGAAGGGGGACAATGGGGACGTCTGTAATACTTTCAACAATAAATATTTTTTAAGTAAATAAAAAGAATATAAAAAATTAAAAAAAGATACTTTAGGCCCTAGCTGCTTTGGCTCAGTGGACAGAGCATCGGCCTGCAGACTGAAGGGTCCCAGGTTTGATTCAGTCAAGGGCACATGACCGGGTTGCAGGCTCCATTCCCAAGTAGGGGGCATGCAGGAGGCAGACAATCAATGATTCTCTCTCATCATTGATGTTTCTAGCTCTCTCTCTCCCTCTCCCATCCTCTCTGAAATCAATTAAATATATATTCTTTTTAAAAGATACCTAAGGATTTCTGGCAACTCGTGAGCCAGCAATTGAATACAAATGTGACTCTTATGGAAGCAATTTTGTAATTCTACTCAGAAACAGGTATATGCCCATCCTGCAACATTCCCAATAGGCAAGGCTTTCATAAAATACTGGTAAAACACCAAAAGCTAATCAAAGTCTAGATAAAATTTAGGGGTACTTCTTAGGAGCCAAACACCCTAGAACAGTGATGGCGAACCTTTTGAGCTCAGTGTGTCAGCATTTTGGAAAACCCTAACTTAACTCTGGTGCCGTGTCACATATAGAAATTTTTTGATATTTGCAACCATAGTAAAACAAAGACTTATATTTTTGATATTTATTTTATATATTTAAATGCCATTAACAAAGAAAAATCAACCAAAAAAATGAGTTCACGTGTCACCTCTGACACGCGTGTCATAGGTTCGCCATCACTGCCCTAGAAGTATTCATTTCACTTTTTATATTTAGATTACTATGAACTCCTCTACTCCCATCTGTTATCACTAAAGATATAGAAATGCCCAACTGAATAACACGTTACAAAATAATACCCCTGAATACAGTAAATGACTCTACCAGAGGGGAAATGAGTGCACCTCTGGCTTTTGTTAGCTCACGTGAGTTCCTGCAGGGCTTGTTTTGATCTCTGCAGATCTGGCAGGTAGTGAGAAAGCAATCCTTCTGCCAGTTGCTCCACAGCTTTGTCTTCCACAGTCAAGTCCTCTATTAACCCTTCATCTGGAGAAGTGTCACTTAAACCTGTCCCCAAGCAAAAATCACATTTAGGAAGCTTTTAAGTTGACACAGAAATGAGAGAGTAGCAGGTAGGCAGGGAAGGAGGCTGGCGGTGGGGTTCAGCACACATATATGAGGTAGTACAGGTATCCCTTTCTCTTATTTTAACTTTTACCTTCTGAGTGTCCTCTAAAAAAAGGATTATGAACACTCAAAACATGTTTTTAAGCTACTAGTATAATGTAAAATCTAGATTAAAAGAATATTAATATGTGCAAAATTCTGTATGTTTACGTATTTTTCATAACAGAGGATTTATAGTTTTCAATGGATTGTGAAAGGAATCTGAGGCCTAAAAGTGGGAAACAATCACTGAATGAAAGCAAGAAATTCTTCTTTTCTAAAGCAGGCAGAAATTATATATATTTTTAAACTCAATTCCTAAAAAACATTTTTTCATTTTTATGGAAGTGAAAATATGGTTCAACATTTATTTTGTATATAGTTGAGATATTATTTACATGCAAAAGGGGGGCTGTTTTGTCATCTGTTAGGAGGAGAGAAATTTTCTAAGAATTTCTCCTCTCTTGAGATCAACATCTTAATTTACTGTAGAAAATAATGTATAATGTCTTTTGTGTAAATCTAGACGTGATACCTCATACTTTTCCTTTGAACGAAAGGGGTGCAAGCATTGTACCAGGCATTCGAAAATGTCTAAAATGAATACCCATCAATCACTACTACTACCAGGAAAATTACAAGACAATTTCTAAAGTGTTTGATGATTGGTTCGTAAGATTTTAGAATCACTGATTTAGAAGGAGAAAAAAATGAGATGATCACATTATTAAAATTGTACTCTACAAGCATTTTTAAACTAATATTAAACTCTAAAACATCTCTCTTTAATCATAACCTGGTAATAATCAGAAACTTCAAATTAGATCATTATATAGAATACATTTATTATAATACATTGCTTATAACCAATTTCCAAGAATAATTTTTATCACAGACTTAAATTTGGGCAAGATTGAGGAATACAACATGCTCTCATATTCAAAATAAGCTTTTAGAGATCAAAATAAAATAGTATGGTTTTTATTCTGATCCTGAAAAACACATGAACAAAGTTTGGAATTCTCAAAGTTGAAAAGCAATATTCAAACAGGTAAGATCTAATTAAAAACTGAAGTACTCCACAAATGAAATAAAAATATAACGGGGAGCCCTGGCCAGTGTTGTTCAATAGTTAGAGTGTCAGTCCATGCAGTCCGAACACCAAAAGGATCGCAGGTTCGATTCCTGGTCAAGGGCACACATCTGGTTGCAGGTTTGATCTCCACCCTAGTGGGGGGTGCAGGAGGCAACCAATCGATGTGTCTCTCTCACATCAATGTCTGTCTGTCTCTCTCGCTCTCTCTCTTCCCCTCCCTCCCTTCCACTCTCTAAAAATCAATGGCAAAAATACCCTCGAGTGAGGATTTACATACTATATATATGATGGGGAAAGTGGAGCACTTACAGATATTGTCACTGATGTACCATCAAATGGGAAGTGAATAAGTATATATAAGTATATCTGAGAATCAATGTCATTGCTTGAGGCTTGATTTCAATTATAGTGCAAACAAGAGCAACTCTAAGAAAATATAGCCCTGGCCAGGTAGCTCAGTTGGTTAAAGTGTCATCCTGATATGACAACGTTGTGGGTCTGATCCCTATTAAAGGCACATACAAGAATCCACCAATGAACGCATAAATAAGTGGAACAATAAATCAATGTTTCACCCTTTTCTTCCTGTCTCTAAAAATCAATCAGTAGGTAAAAGAAAATATAGAAAATGTAAGTATTATAGATAAACAAAAACACCCAAATAAGGACATTTCAACTTTAAGGAATGATAACTAACACATCTGCCTTACAATATACAGGGTGGGACAAAAGCAAGTTTATAGGTGTGAGTAAATGAAACACAGTTTATTCTTGTATTATTATTTATTAATTATTGTATTATTTTCCATCCGAACAATTGTAAACCTACTTTTGCCCCACCTGTCTATAGTATACATTTTAATTCATAGAGCCTTCTTACCCTGCCCTAATCTTCTAGTTAATTATTGGAAATGTCCAAGTTTTCATGTCTTTACATACATTTAGTTACTAAGTTCGAGGTGTTTTATTGTGGGAAATTAAAGAAAAAGAAAGGGTTCTTATTCTATGCACATAAGAAACATTTGCTGCATGTCTATATCATGTACTAGTTTCTGAATATAACAATAAATTAGGAAAGCCTCCTTCTGTGAAAGGGTTCAAAACAGGGAACCATAGAATGTGAGAAGTGCCATTAGAGAAACAGAAACTCAGAGGGGAATTCAGTTTCACCGAGAAGTCTGGGAACAATTCCTAAAGGGGGTATGGGCATTTGTGCTGAAGCTTGAAGAACGGATGAAATTTTCATTTATTTTCCTTTTTTTAAAATGTTACTTATAAAAATTTAAAACACAAAGATGAAAAGTAAAAATACTCTTTCTCATGCCTTTAGAATCATTCTGGAGTTCTTACACAGCCTTCAAGAAACTGTCTTTGCATACCCATGCAAAAATCCTGTTTTTATCACAAATGAAATATTAGTTGTATTTTTTACAACTATTCTCTTAAATATATATGTTACATATCTTTCTAAATTAACATATACAGATCTACTACATTCTTTTTATGTTAATAGAATTCTAACATAGTTTAACCATCTCCCTATTGTTTTGGACTGAATGTGTGTGTCCCTGCCAAAAATTCATGTTGAAGCCCTAACCTCCATGCAATGGTATTTGGTGATGGGACCTTTCGGAAGTTTAAATGAGGTCATGAAGGTGGGGCCCCCATGATGAGGTTCTTGTCCTTAAAAGAAAAGAGAACCAGAATTCTCTCCCTCGACCATGTGAAGATCAGAAGATGGTCCTCATCAGGAACCTAATCTGCCAGCACCTGGATCTTGGACTTCCCAGCCTCCCTATCTGTGAAGAATGTCTGTCGTTTAAGCCACCCAGCCCATGGTACTTGTTATGGCGGCCCGAGCAAACTAAGACACCTCTGGATGAGTACTTAGGTTATTTTCATTTTTTGCTATTTCAAACGATGTTGCAGTAAGCTTTCTCCCTTGTCTTTCCATATCCTTGTCACTGTTTTTGTAGAATAAATTCTTAGAAATAGACTGTTGGGACCAAAGGTTTATGCATTTTTTAATAGGCATTGCAAAATTGCCTCCTAAGAGATGGTAACAATTTACACTCCTGCCAACTATCTGAGAGCTATTATTTCCAAATGGGTAAGAAGGTATGAAGACAGGATTGAAAGGAATACAATATGGGGGGGGGGGGGGGAAGCAGCATGAGGAAAAGTAGGAATACAGAATTGTTCTGAATAGAGAAGGTAGTTGGAGCATGGGACATAATAGTAGTGAGCTATATGAACCACATGGCCAGTCTAGGAGGACCCTTGAGTTCCAGGCTAATGGGTTTGGCTCTTTATTTTAATAAGTAGGAGCCACTTAAGGCTTCCAAGCAAGGAAATGTCATGCTTGGAGCTTTATCTTGGAGCACTGATGTGAAAGCAGTGGGAGAGAGAGGGTGGAAGAGTAAGAGACTGGGAGCAGAGCCCTTCCGGTGTAGAGGGAGATTGGCATTACAACCTGTAAGGGCGAAAAGACAAAGAGGAATTGGAAAGTGTATAGTAGAACCCCCTAGATTAAACAGAAGTTGGAGGCAAGTGAGAGGAAAGAGCCCAGGGTAATATCAAAGCTTCAAGTGAGAGTGACTTGGCACCATTAATAGGACCAGAGATCTCCTTTTATTTATGGACATGCAGTGAGATTAGTGCAAAAGAACCATGTCGAAGTACCCATCAAGCAGATGAAAAAGCGAGCTGAGAGGGACCCACACTGCACACAGACAGGGAAGTCAAACTTATAGAAGCAACTTGTGAAGGTGGGGAGAGAGGGAGATCACTCAGGAAAAGCATGCCGGAGAAAGGACTGAGCCCTATTTTGGGGTAACCCCTATATTTCTGGAACAAGAGATAAAGGAGAAGGTACATCCCAAATCGTGCAGCCTTTCTCCTTCAGGGCCCCTTATCTGAACCACAGAACACGACACGGCTTTGAGTGACCACTTTCTCAATCCTCCCAAGGACGGCACAGAAATAGTACCATTCTGGATGCACAGCAAGTCAACCCATTACAGTCAGTGGATGCCTTAGGACAGTGGGGCTTAAATCGCTCTGGGAACCGCTGGAGGAATAGGGAAGCAGCAATGTCAACAAGCAAGGCAGAGCTCTGGGTAACTCAGGTTTCTACATTACAAAGCGATCATCTTGACAAGCTCATTCTCAGCCACTAGCGCGTAACAAAGAGCTAACAATGAGCTGGAGTCACAGAAACGCAGAATGACTTCACTATCCACCCCTTCCAACTCCACCCCAAAAACCCCGCTTACCCCTGCGGGTCCCGCGGGTCCCGCCCCCCCCCGCCCCCCCCCCCCATTCCGCAGGGCGCGGGCCAGTGCGGTGCCCACTTCCGCGCCGCAAGGGCCGCAGCCGCCAAAAGCCGCTCCCTCCCGGAGCGACCCGGAGACCCAGGCACTCGGCCCCGCCGCCCGCCCCGCCTGCAGCACCTACCCGGCGTCCGCTCCCCGGCTCCCAGGCCGGCGGGCGGCCCAGGCAGGACCCCGGCCGACAGCGGCGGCTCAGGGACACTCATGTCCCTCCCGCTGGGAACAGGGCAGGGGCGGTAATGCAGACGGACCGATACAGAGAGAGGGACCAAGCGCGTCCCGCACCCAGCCGGACGGATCCAGCGGTCGCCCCCGGAAGTACCGGAAGCGGAAGACGGCGGGCTCCGGGCACGTAACCGGGGTTCCGCCCCCCAGGACGTTCCGCCTCCATCACCCCCCACCCTCGTCGCTCCGGGGACTCCGCTCTGACGTCGCAGGCGGGTCGAGGGCGCGGTGTCAAAAAAAGTCTGCGTCGCGGGCTTGCCGTCCGTGCGACCAATGGGGGCGGGGACGGCGGGGGGGGGGGGGGGGAGGGGGGCGGGGATGGCGAGGGGGCGGGGGGGGGGGGGAATGAGAAGAGGGCTGCTCCCAGGGGCTCGCGGATGGGTTCTGTAGAACTGGGCGGACAGTCGGGCTTGCTTCGCTGAGACCCTGCACAGTTGTTCAATTTTGTGTCTGTTAAGGTAATATCTTAAGTACAAGGACTGCGTGCCTTCCCCGCGATTTGAACCATAGCTTCAGCCTTGCTGATTGGGGCATTGGCCAGGATTCCCGTCTCCCCCTGCGGATTGTAGGTGAATGATTAGCGGTTCTCAACCTGTGGGTCGCGACCCCTTTGGTGGTCGAACGACCCTTTCACAGGGGTCGCCTAAGACCATCCTGCATATCAGATATTTACATTACGATTCATAACAGTAGCAACATTACAGTTATGAAGTAGCAACGAAAATAATTTTATGGTTGGGTCACAACATGGGGAACTGTATTTAAAGGGCCAGAAGGTTGAGAACCACTGATTTAAGGCCTGGGTTGCAGCATCTACTGAACAAATTAAGTCATATGACTAAAAACGGCACTCACTGAGATGGAGAGAGAGAAGGGGACATGCAGGGGGCAGCCAATCAATGATTCACTCTCATCATTGCTGTTTCTATCTCTCCCTCTCCCTTCCTCTCATATATGTAATGTCAAACCTCAGAAACTTGCACCTGCAACCCCACTGCCCTTATCAGCGCATTCACACCCCTTCTTTTGGCCTCCCTCTCAAGGGTAGCTATTCCTTACCTGTAATAAGCAGAATAATGACCTCACCCCAAGATGTCCCCATTCTTAATCCCCAGAACCTGTTACTATGTTAAATTTCACCAAAACGGGTAATTAAGGTTGCTAGTCACTTGATCATACATAAAGTAGGTTATCCTGGATTATTGAGTGGCCCAGTATAATCAATCACAAGGGTCTTCAACACTGGAAATGGGAGGCAGAAGAGGAGAGGCAGAAGGGAGCTACAACTTTGAAAGATAGAGAGTTGCAACATTGGTGGCTTTGAAGAGATGAAGGGGGCCACCTGCCAGGATTGTGGAGATCTCTAGAAGCTGGAAAATACAAGGAAATGGGTTTACCCCTAGAACCTCTAGAACCCTGCTGACACTTTAATTTTATCCCAATGTAACCTGTATTGAACTTCAAACCTACAGAACTATCTATATAATAAAAGCCTAAGCGACTGTTATGGCGGAACGACCAGAACGACTGGTCGCTATGATGCGCACTGACCACCAGGGGGCAGATGCTCAATGCAGGAGCTGCCCCTGGTGGTCAGTGTGCTCCCACAGAGGAAGCACTGCTCAACCAGAAGTTGGGCTCACAGCTGGTGAGTGCCTCCTGCCTCCGCGGCAGCGCTAAGGAGCAGTGAGCTGAGTGGTAAGGAACAGTTAGCAGGCAGGCAGTAAGGAGCAATGGGTACTGGACTGCGAGAGGGGTGTCCACCTGCCAGCTTAGGCCCGATCCCTGGGGGTCTCGGACTGCAAGCGGGCACAGGTTGGGCTGAGGGATCACCCCCCCCCCCCAGTGCATGAATATCGTGCACCAAGCTTCTAGTCCTATGTAATAAAAGTGTAATATGCAAATTGATCAAACGGCAGATGACCATTCGGCAGGGGCCAGGGCCAGTGAGCAGGCAGCACCAGGCCAGCCAAGGCTCGTGCCAGCGGGCAGAGGGAGGGGATGGCAATGGGGGCAGAGGGGTGATGGGGGAAGGAAGAGGGGGACTCCCCAGAGGGAGACCACCGGTGATGGCGGCGGGGGGCAGGGCTAGCCGCTCACCAGCTGGCACCATCCTCTGATCGGCCTCCCCGTGGAGAGCGGGCCTAAACCATCAGTCAGACATCCCCTGAGGGCACCAGGACTGCGAGAGGGCACAGGCCAGGCTGAGGGACCCCTCCAGTGCACAAATTTTCATGTACCGAGCCTCTAGTAAGATAATAAATTTGTATTGCTTTAAGTTTGTAGTAATTTTTTATCATGACAATAGGAAAGTAATGCACTACCCCCTTCAACCATCCTTTGTTCCCTTCAAGCATGGAATGTCTGCAATGCTCTTGCTCATGCTTATGCCTAGGACAGTGATGGCGAACCTTTTGAGCTCAGTGTGTCAGCATTTTGAAAAACCCTAACTTAACTCTGGTGCCGTGTCACATATAGAAATTTTTTGATATTTGCAACCATAGTAAAACAAAGATTTATATTTTTGATATTTATTTTATATATTTAAATGCCATTTAACAAATAAAAATCAACCAAAAAAAATGAGTTCACGTGTCACCTCTGACACGTGTGTCATAGGTTCGCCACCACTGGCCTAGGATGTTCTATCCACTGACCTACTCATCTTTCAAGCCTCAGCCTAAATAATACCTTGAATTTAAAATCATTCACAATTCTACCTCCCATTCAACTTTCAGAAGTTACAGTAATAACCTTTTCTCAATACAAAGCACCCTCCTGCTATTTAGGACTTAATCCATTCTTGTATTAGTCAGTTATTTCCCTTGACTTTATTATATTGCAAACTCCAAACAGAAACTTATTTACAGAAAACCCATAATAGGTTCCCAATAAATATTTTCAATTAATGAGATTTCCTGTTGCTCCAAACATTTGTTGGTGTCAATATTCTGGATTTTGGCCTTCTAATAGGGATGTAGTGGTAACTCATTGTTTCTTTAATCTATATTTCCTAGTGACATATAGAATATCTTTTTATATGCTTATTTGTCATCCATACATCTTCTTTGGTGAAGTGTCTGTTCAGATCCTTTGTCCATTTTTTAATCAAGCTGTTTGTTTTATTCTTGACCTTTAAAGTGTTTTTTGCATATTTTGGATAACAGCCCTTTATCAGGTATGTCTTTTGAAAATATTTTCTTCAAGTCTGTAGCTTGTCTTCTCATTCTCTTGACAGAATTTTTAAAGTGAAAACTTGAAGGGAACCTACAATAGTGTGTGTTAATGGAAAGAGGGAAGGTTCTCTAATCTCCCACAAAGTTTTGACATTTATATGTACGGGCATCTTTCTGAAGGTTGCAGCAGTGGAAATAGCCAAGTATTTGATGTCAAAAGACATGTTTCAATAATAACTAAGACATTTACTAGTTAGGAATGTTTTGGTTACAAGTAAAGAAGTCCAAACCTACTTAAACAAAACAAGGAATTTACTGACTCACTGAACTTGAAAATTCAAGAGTTGATCTGGCCGACTTCAGGCATAGCTATATCTGTTTCCTCAAATAAAATCAGAATGTCTTGCCCTGGCCAGCGTTGCTCAGTGGTTAGAGCACCGGCCCACCACTTTCTCCACCTCTCTCCCTTCTCTCTTCTCTTCTCTTCTCTTCTCTTCTCTTCTCTTCTCTTCTCTTCTCTTCTCTTCTCTCTCTCTCGTGCTCCCCCCACTAGGAATTCCCCTTTATTAGCTTTACTGTAGCAGTTCTCTCTGGAAAATATCTCCAAGGTTTCATGTTCCTTACATCTCTCAAGTGAAGCCAACTCACTCCTAGAATTTATCTCTCTTTAAAAATAAAAACTCACTTTTGCATCTTGGCCACCAACATGCATCCAGACTGAGGAAGACTCAGAAACTTCGGGCCACGTGAGCCATGGCCACGGTCCCATTGACAAGCACAGGAAGCACCCGGAAGGTCACGGTAATGCTGGTGGCCTGCATCATCACAGAATCAACTTCGACAAATATCACCCAGGTTACTTTGGGAAGGTTGGGATGAGACATTACCACTTAAAGAGGAACCAGAGCTTTTGCCCAACTGTCAACCTTGATAAACTGCGGACCTTGGTCAGTGAACAGACACAGGTAAATGCTGCCAAAACAAGACTGGAGCTGCTCCTATCATTGATGTGGTGCAATCAGGCTACTACGAAGTTCTGGGGAAGGGAAGGCTCCCAAAGCAGCCAGACATCGAGAAGGCCAAGTTCTTCAGCAGAAGAGCTGAGGAGAGGATTAAGGGTGTTGGGAGGGCCTGTGTCCTGGTAGCTTGAAGCCACATGGAGGGAAGTTCATAAAATGTCCACAAGTGAAAAATCAATCAATAAAAATAACTCAAAATATTTGGATCACATAGCCACCGGTATACCAGTCTCTGCATCCAGGGGCTGTAGAGAGTTCTCATGAGCCAGAGTGGGTCACATGTTAACACAGGGAGGCAGGGTCTCTTGACTGACAGTCCTGCTAGGAGTTCTATAAAACCACAGGGCAGTTTCTTAAAGGAAAATCAGAGTCCTGTTACCAAAAGGAGGAAGGAAATTGTCCCAACCAAAGCAACAGATGTCAACTGTATCAGTTACGAGATTTTAGTTGAGCCCCTTACTCTCTCTGAGCCGCTGTTTTTTCCATTGGTAAAAAAAGACATAAAACCAGACCCATCACTTGACATAGTTCTTGTGAGAATCAAACACTCGATAGAACATTTGAAGAAGATTTGTAAGCTGTGAGGAACCATTGCAAACAATAACAGTCCCCAAGTCCTTACTATGTACCAGAAGAAACATTATTTCTGTTATTAGTGCCTTGATTTCATGTATTCACCAACCTCACTGATGTTTGAAGGGGTTCAGAACAGGCACTTTGGTATGTGAATTATTTTTGAGCTGAAAGCAATTGAGATGAGGGTTCATGAGAAACTTTTACTTCTCCTTAAAGAATTTAAATGAGATGTGTTGCCCACAATAAGAGTTATCACCAGAAATAGCTTTTTATGACTACTCTATAGGACAGAGCAAAC